AAGTGGTTACCCCAATAGACTCCTTAAGCAAAACTCAACAGTTTTTAAGACGTTATCGTCCCAAATACTCCTGGGTTATAAGATAAAGGAAATTGCTGTGCAAAGTTCTATATATCATCATTGAATATCATCTATTTACTGTAATTTTCATAACTGTGAAGTACCATATGTTATAATGCATTTTCATCAGCATTTTGTTAAACATTAAATCACCTCTAGAGATTTCTTGGCGCGCACTAAACCTAGCTTGTACTGTAATCTACAGTGAAAAAATGTCCCTAAGAAATATATCATAATCAGATAGAGGGAAGGACTTGAGGGGATAATTAGGGGAATCAGGAAGGGGAATTTTTATGAAGCACTATGTGTCTAAGATGAATATTGGGGAAAAACAATATCATCAAAGTTCAAGTGTTTGACATTTCCAAATTTTATGAGGTTTTCTTTGGCTCCAGCCACGAGAGGTGCCTGAACCCAATTAAGAGAGTTATACATAATCACTAGAAAGGAATACCTTCATTCGATAAGGTCATATTCGTAGTTATTGTGCACGCACAACAGAACAGACTGCGATGCAATTTTTCAAACCTCAGTAATTTTATGAGGGTGTGCTGACATTCAAACAACGTAGATTAGCATAGAAGTAAATAGGAAGTTGTTTCATTTTTTCCTTCTTTAGCAGAATTTGCGCGAAATAGGGGGAGATTGAGCGTACACGCTTGGACATGACTGACATATCCAGAATTTGAAAATTTTCATACGGCATACAGTTTTGGTAATCAAATGAATTTTGTTGGCGAGTAAATATAGAGCTAAGTGGCTAACGACACGAATAGTGTCAGCTAGTCGCACTATTTGTCTGATCGCTGACTTAAACACAACAAAAGCAAGAAGCTCAACCTTGGTGGGCGTGGTTGGGAAGAGATCGTGATTGGCTCACAGCGCATATCTCGTACGGCTTTCATCACTCAGGATTCGAATAATTGCTCATGAGACCGCCTCACTGCCAGATCTCATCGCAAAACCGATAAATGCTTCTAATTATCTGTTTTGATTGTTCAATTAGCATTAACATGTGTTCCATGGAATTGATACTTATGAGCCAGCTTTTATTTCTTTGTACACATATCAATCTCATTTCTCTACTTCTCATACAAGTTCACTCATAAATACATCATGTTTGAAAATGTTGAACATTTTCGACAGTTGACTATCCTCCTTCCGTCGTTCTTGCAATTTCTAAAACATAGACTTCACTTGTTTCTCCCAAAATATAAGCCATGCAAATTGTAAATGTCTAACTCACATCTA